ATTAAAAGAGATTGCATGTGACATCCTTCAATTTATTCATGATCCCTGAGTTGCGAGTCCATCATGATCAATGCTCAGTACAACAAGCCTCCAGGCATGAGAGAGAAAGTTTAGGTGGGTCAAAGAAGAGCTGCTCCTGGCCTCTCCATTTCCCATGTGTGGGGTGTGTGTTTGAGGGGGTGCATGCGTGTATTGCACAGTTCATACCCCTTAGAGTGCCTTTCTGGTTAGGCCTAGGAACTCAATGGGGGCTTCTTCCTCTAAGCTCCTAGAACTGCCAGGATTTCCTCAAGTGATCTTTGGTACCTGGCTTGCATGAAAAAGACTGGACTTGTGAGGGGAAAGCGTGTTGGCTCTTTGCTTTAATAACCGGCTCCTTTGAGGGGAGGGGAAGGTGTCAGGTTGTGACTCCCAAAATGGGGGGTTAACTCACTCATCAGTGCTGAAAGCCTTAGCTGCTTGTCCTAGGTTCACTGGGACTGGAGCCATCTCCTTCCTTCCTCCAGTCATTCTGGGTCTCCTCTTTCCCAACCAATTCGGTCTACCTTCATTTTCCTCTTGCTGGGCCTTTATCGAGGCTGGCAGTCAGGAGGAGATGGGGTTGCTCCTGTATTGCTTGGGCAGGCTCCAGCTTGTGGCTGCTGCTGGGCTCAAGGGCTGCCCTTACCCCCTTAAAGCCCAGACTACTACTATCTGGATCCAGTCTGGCGGCAGTTGTGCAGCTCTTTGGTGTGCCGGGAGGACAGGAGCAGTCAGCCCAGCAGGGCCCTAGGAGATTACAGGGTGGCAGATTGGCTTTAGTCCATCCTCTCTGCAGGGTGGCTTTTTACCATTTGAGTCTTGCCTATCCTGAGTCTGTTAGCGCCATTTCCCAGGCACTTTAAGCTGTGAACAGTGCAAATTTTGCCTCTGCTTTTGGATAACATTAAGTGTGCAGACATGAATGATCAGATATAACCACACTGGTGATGGCTCAGATTAGATTTTTACAACTGGTTCTATAGGTTTCTGTTGTTACAGCTGTCCAGGGAGGGCAGCTTGGCATCTGCTTTCAAGTAGAGGCTGTGGTCAGTAATGCCCAAGTAACATCCCGGTGTTAGGGACTTATGGTTAAATAGTTATTGGACAGCAGGCTGTAGGGTTTTCTGAGCTCAGGTTTTTTTTTTTTTTTTTAAGAAATAGACCTAGCAGTACACAAACAAGCCTCAGGTGAATACAGTAGCAGCGGAAGTACATGTAACTCTCAATTTTTGTCAGTACACCTAATGTTCCAATTAACTAAGCAGCAATGCTTCAGAGTGATAGCAAAGGTCCAGCAAAAGACTTATAACACCTCAGAAGACCACTATATGAGAAAGAAGGTACATTGCTGCAATTGAGTAGTCAATATACTAAAACGTTTCTAGTGCAGTATATAACAGTTCCTCTACTTCATCTTCCTTCATAGCCCATCATAGGCATTGCTGTCAATTACTTCAGACACTAGCTGGAAGCACATGTAATAAAATAAAATTATATACCTACCTGAGGTGATCCTTCACTGTGACACTAAATGTTTTTAGTAAGCTGTATTAATCAAAGTCTCTCTGCTGATATATACAAGGCAACTGGTTTAGACAGAAGAGGTTTTGTTTCTAAACAGAACTATTTTAGGTATTAAAATGGCACAAGCAAGTGTAATGCACACTAAAAGGAGCTACATTTTAGAGTATACATATCCAGGATGCTGCAGTTTAATAGATATGACTTGTCTGTTGCATAACTATTTCTCTAGGAGGATCTTTTCAGGTCCAAAGCATATTTCTAGCAGATTTCATTATAACAATAAAACAGTGCAGCAACATGGTGATAAAGCCTCCTTCAGCATATTCAAATTTTATATGACACAGTGCTCTTCCTTGCAGTCTTTGAAACAAAGAGATGAACATCTGAGGGTACAGAGAGAATTATTTGCAAGTGGCAACATACTATCTAACAAGTTGTGTTCAGAAAGTATGCCTATTACCATGTAAGGATTGCATTTCAAAACACCAATTTGAAAGGAGATAAGTATGTAATGAAAACAAAAGAGCTTTGTTGATCAAAATGTGGAAAATAACCGTATCATGATGGGTCTGGAGAAGTAATTAGTTCTGCATTTTGCATATTTAATCATAATCATCAAAATGATCTTGCCCCATGTTGTCACTGGTGAAGGTCAAGCTTAGTTATCGTGTTTTTATACTAATGCAATAGTGCCTTCATGGCAAATAGGAGGCTCATAATTTCAGGGATTAAAGGCTAACAGTTAAACTACCAATTTCACACAACTAAAAGCGCACTTTTGATCTTTCCGCATATTAATGTTATGTGGGGAGTCAGATTGTGTTTTGAGAAAAATTGGGGGCAGCTTTTATTCAGTTTCATAAACAGAAAATACTTCATGGTTTTAATGCTTTGTTAGTTACTACACTACATCATTCCCTAATAAGCACACCCAGCTTCAAAGTATATTTAGCTTTTTTCCCGAGCCAAAAAAATCAAAATTATCAATATATGGAGATATAACATCTCATAGAACTGGAAGGGACCTTGAGTGGTCATTGAGTCCAGTCCCCTGCCCTCACAGCAGGACCAAGTACCATCCCTGACAGATTTGCCCCAGATCCCTAAATGGCCCCCTCAAAGATTGAACTCACAACTGTGGATTTAGCAGGCCAATGCTCAAACCACTGAGCTAGCCCTCCCCCCATCTACTGGGTTATAGGTGCTTAAGTACTGTACCGGGGTGCATTTTGTAATGCCATCAGTGTGGCTAATAAATCCTCTGGCTTTAAAAACAAAAATCCACACCATCCTGTAAGGTTAGGGCCACAGCTCTACCTCAGGCTTCGAAGCCCTAGAAGTATTGTTGATTTCTGCAAAGAATAATTTTAAAGTAAGAACAGTTTTCAGCTTAGTTCAGTAAAAAGTATTTTTTTCAACCAACTATAATTTTGAGTCACAGCTGCATGAATGGATTTGGGGGATTGGTATTAATATACAGACCCTGTGGCTTAACAGTCCATTTGCTACACAAGATGTTCAGTTGCGCAACATTTCCTGCACCATCCACAGAACACCTGATCACCGTAACCCCCATAGTAGTGAGGCAACAGTTCAGTCCTCATGAGTAGTCATGTTTTTCTATGTAGTCAGTGCTAGTAGCTTCTGTGACAGAAACATTTATCTATCAGGAACTCAACAGAGCAAAGAGCTATCTGATAATTTACTCTTAGCACCCTCAATAAAATTTGAAATTCAACTTGCAGGTGAAGTGCTCCATATTAGTTACAATTCTAATGAGAAAAACTGCCAGAAATAATTGGTATGCATCTTATTTCCAGTGGATATCAATAAAATTGAGTGCATAATTTAGATTTATAATTCTGAAATCCATTAACTGTCCAGGCGGATACACTTGTATTTAAATGAAGTGGGTTAAGTTGTTGGTTTTTTTGGGGTTTTCTTTTGTTTTGTTTTTTTTTAAAGTGAAAAGAAACACATAAGAGTTGATCAGATTTTGTTATTTAAATTTTCCCCCTCAATCCCAGGTTTTCTATGTTCCATAGTATTTTGAATGAACACTGAATTTCACACTAGTCTACATCATATGCATTGTCAAATGTTCTTTTAAAATGCAGAGATGCTAGCATTAAATAATGGTAAGCTGCTGAAGCCATTTCATTAATGTGGCACAGGCTATGTCTATACTACACTGTTCTTCCGGAAAAAGTTACGCAAATTGCAATCTGCATAGCTTTTTCCGCTTTTTTTGGAAGAGGCTTTCCCAACATTTGGCCCGTCTACACTGGGCCAAATGTTGCAAAAAAACATTTTTAGAAACATCCCTCCTTCCTCATAAAACGAGGTTTACGGGGATGCCAAAAAAGCGCATCTGCTCTTCTGAAAAAAATTTCAGAAGAGCAGACGTGTTACCTGGGTACCTCTGATATCCTGGAAAAACTCTGTAGTGTAGACATAGCCCCACAGTTCTACCAAAGTCTATAAATAACACATCAGAAATGCTTACATTACCAAGACTTACAATTATAATATGCATAATTTCCAAGTTTCCAGCTGCATATTTTAGTATTATTTCATATTCCTATCATCATTCATTGGATGTGCTCCAAATAATACTAAATATTGTATGTATACCTTTTCCTCTTTCTTCACCTAATTTTCATTGTCTGGTTCATAATCAATGGGCCTAAAATTCATGTCCAACAGTGCACCATGTCTGTATGCACAGTTACCATGATTACCTGGAGAAAGATGACATCATTTGTATTTATTTCATGCTTCCAGTGCAAGAAATTAAAGCAAAAGCATTTGTAGGATTATATAAATGTATATTTACATATGGACTAAGGATTGATATTCAATCTGTACCTTCTTCCAAACAGCCTACCTGCATGCAGATCATTCCCTGAGTATCTGTGTATAGCTGCAGCCTGCCAGCCAGATATCAATCCCTCTCTGACTTCCCCCAGCATTAGTCACCATTTGCAGGGTAAACCCAACACATTCCAAGTCCTGCACTTTTCCCCACTGCATGTGTTCTGCGCTATCCAGACCTTTCATGGATGTCCAGACATATCAGGTCCATTGTCCCACTAAGGGGATTGTCACTATACTGTATCACATGAATGGTTTTAATACCTGTTGTTGTGGTGTATACTACACCTAACATACAGGCAGTCCCCGGGTTACATGGATCCGACTTACATCGGATCCCTACTTACAAACGGGGTGAGGCAACCCCGCACTAGCTGCTTCCCCCCAGCAGACCAGGGAGACGCGAAGCTATGCGCTCCCCCACCCCCAGAAGAACAGGGAGATGCGGAGCGGTTTTTCTCAGCAGACACCTCAGCTTGAGAATAAAGGACTGAGGGAAGTGAGGTGTGGGAGAATAAAACTGAGCTCTGGAGAAATGTTTGGCTAGAGTTTCCCCTACAGTATGTACCAGTTCCGACTTACATACAAATTCAACTTAAGAACAAACCTACAGTCCCTATCTTGTACGTAACCCAGGGACTGCCTGTATACAAGTTTGCTATCCAAATGGACATGCCCACATAGGCACAACACTGCATTGGTTCTGATTAAAGAATAAAACAACAGTTTGCTTACAGGAAGATTGGTTTGTCTTTTGACTTTTTCAAGCTGATATTTTTTAAAGATAGAGAACAATCACTTGAGACATACACTGTAACTGAACAACATTAAAAAGATTAAATAAGATTGTGTAGCAAGTTTATTTTACTTAAAAGTCCCAGCTCATAACTCATCTTGTTTTAAGCGTCCAACAACAGACTATGTTTATTAATTTCATTTAACCCTGCTTTCCCTCAAATGTAAATATTATTTATACTATGGTAATCCTAGAAACATCAGATATAGTCCGCTAAATCTCTTGCCAAAATATCTTATCAGCAATAAGCATAAACTTCAGCCATTTTTTATTACAAACATTAGCAATTGAGTCCATTGCTTTTTATATCCAAGAACAAAATGGCATGTTTCTTTAGTTTTTAGCCATCTGTCCACATGATGTATAGCTGTCCAGCTGCAATACAGCTCAGATCTCAGACTGTTTTGAAGCATTAATGAGCCTCTGCCGCACTTCTTCAGCATGTGCCCGGCTCTTGGCTCTGTTTTCTTGATACTAGAAGATAAAAATAAATGAATAATAGATAAGTTGCATCACTGAATTTAAAATGCAATATAGACTTATTATTTGGGAAAGAAACATTTTGGCTTGAAAAATTAAGTTTGCATAGACCAAATTATTTTCATTACTTCATGTTTTTATTGACTTGGTTTACTTTAAAACTAACAAAGGGTCTGTTTTATAACAAAAGACATCTTCTCTCAGATGGACATGAGTACTAGAACTGAACAACAATTCTAGTAAGAGTACAGCATACATGCCTACGAGGGAAACTTATTTACCCAGACATCTCACAATGAGAAATATGGTTACTTAGGATCATCAAGATATTTTAAGACATGCATCTGTGAAAAGTGCAAGCACCACATCAGTATACTGCTCCAGACAATTCCTGCCTAATGGTAAGATGTAAATCCAGAAAGTAGAGGAGCCATCCGGGATAATGAAGTTGTCCTCTTTATTACTTAAGTATCTGTGATGTGGATTTCTCAGCCAAAGAGAGAGACTGCTTTATGTTCCTGATGGTATATTTTGTCAGACAAATGATGGCTATAAATTAGGATTGGAAGGATTCCAATGTTATTGGTAATTGTCAGGAAACATTGATTTTGCCACACATGCAAGTTGACAAAAATATTTTCATTGATAACTGGTTAGATAGGCAAAGTAACAAAAATACAATTCATCTGATTTAAAGATACTTTGTGTATCTGGTCAAACAATGTTCACAATTGGTGTTTTGTTATAAAGCTTTAACTTTTTTAATCTCAAACTACACAGTCAATAAATAATTACTTGCCCCTCCCCCAATTTCCTTCAACTGTGAAAATTTAATAGAATAGAAAAATGCTTAAAAAACAAACATTGCTATTATCTGTCAAATTTAAGGATGTTAAAAAGCGGATAATTGGGTAACTGTGTAATTACTGAAAATTTCATTGGTTGCACGCACCTGCAGCATAGGGCGGCAGTCAGCTCCCCAGGAGTTGATGCATGCTGGAAGCTGGCTTTTAAGCTGGCTCCCTACTCATACTAGCTGCCACCCCATGCTCCTGCCTTGGTATCCTGCTTACTGTGTTCCTCAATAATTTTGGTCTCCCCCCTTTTTTCCCCCCCTCAATAGAATTTTTTCCCTCAATACTTGTTTTTGGGGGGGGTCGGTATTTTTGGTTAAACCATCTGGCAACCCTATATATTAACAGAACTGCCCCACAAGGGCATCTGAAGCCTTGTTTCCAGCTTGAAGGATCCAGTGATCACAACCAGATGTATGAACATATCCAATTCCAAATTTCTTGAGTTCACCTGCTGATCTCAGCTGAATCAGAAAAACTGGAAGAACCCCTGAAGTTCATGCAGTCTGGAATAAATGCACAAGAGATTTGACCATCTTCAGTGTTTTGGATAACCACAACAGGCAGTCTTGGTGATTAATATCAGAACTGGCAGGAACTCAGTAAACTCAGAGAGGCACTTGTAACCTACACATAATCCAGTCTCAAGTTCATTTTATTTCAGGACATTCATGCATATTTAAATACATTCCAGACATGATAATACAGCACAAGTAGGACCACACCTTGAACACTGTGTACGCGTATGGGTACCCAGCACACAAAATGGGAGTGGGGGGTTGGACAAGAGTGGAAAGGCATTTGATATAATTTCTTCATAAATCAAAGCAGCATAATTTAGCACAATTCCAAAACCAAACAGAAGTGATAGATCTATGACTATCTGAAAAGCATGAACACCAAAAAAGGGGGGAAATTAATAAGGATGACTAAAGGAGCATAGTTTAAAGAAAGTGAACAAAGGAAACTTTCCATTATTCAGCCAACACTATTGTAACAGGTCCTCAAAGGTCTCAATCAAAAATGACTCATCCATGCAATAGTCTCCTGAAGAAGTGATGAAAATGCTTTCACTTAAAGAGATTTAATGCTGGACTAGACAAAATACTTTCAAATATACTTTTGGGAACAATCTGGAGCATTAATAGGAATCTGGCCAACTTGACTTGGGTCTTTTCTGTTTTTCTACCAAACTAATTTTTATTTTTGTGTTCAGTTTTGAAAAATGCAGTCAGTGTTATGCTTTACAGATACAGGCAATTGCTTTCCTAACTTTCAAAAAGCAACAAACAGTTTACTGTTACTTAAGACTTGCAGCTATATGCAAGCAACTGGATTAGGGATGTCAAAATGTAGACAACTACACAATTAACTGATAAGACTGGATTTATCATTAATCTTGTTAACTACATGCACTGCCCCTGACTTGCTGCCTCTGTATCAGAGGCAACAAGGGCAGGCGGGAGGGAGAAGTGGGAGCTGGTGCCCATGAGGAGCTGCCTTAAAAGCCAACTCCCCATGAGCTCCGGATCCACCTCCCCAGTCCCCTGCACTGCTGCCTCTGATAGAGGGGAACCAGTGGGGGGAAAGGGGGCAGGGAAGGCTGCTCCGTGGCAGCAGCCCTTGTCTGTGGGGAGCTCAGGCACCCCACAGACAGGGGCTGCTGCTGCCCCACACTGCTGACTCTACACAGAGGCAGCAGCACGGGGCAGCAGGGTCAGGAACCAGTTTGCGCAGAGAGCTGGTTTTTAAACTGGCTCTCCTTGCAGATCAGCTCCACTTGCCACCCCAAGCTGCTGCTTCTAATAGAGAGACAGCAGCACAGGGTGGCAAACAGCTCCCCGGGGGGGTGGGGATGGGGGGAGATCAGGAGCACAATGGCTGCTAGCTCTGCCCCAGGGACTCTCAAATAATCGTGTAACTGCTAAAATTTCATGCAAGTTACATGGCTATTCAATTCCATGCTAACATCCCTATTAAGTATTACCAGTTTAGTGATATACACTGTAAAAGCAGATCCACAGGGAATTACTGACTATCAATACCTAATTAGAAAGTATTAATAATATTGTATATAAATTTCTAAAACTCAGCATTGGTCAACACTAGAAAATTAGGTCATTCTTGCAACACTGGTGAAGGATGAGGAAAATACATACCCTGTTGAGCACTGTAGTTAAGATGACCTATGTCCCTGAGTAGATAGCACTGGGTTGACAGAGGAATTCTTCCTATTGACCTAGCTACTGCTCTTGGGGAAGTGGAGGTCCTATGCCAATGGGAGAATGCCTCTCATTGGCCTCGGTAGTGTCTACTTAAATGCATTATCCTAGCTGTGCCATTGCAGTGTTTTAAAAGTAGACAAGCCCTCAGGCAGCAGTGAAAAAATCAGCGTAGCTAAAAGCCATTATACAAGTTATTCAAGTCAGCAATCACTGTGTCGCTCAGATTTGAACCTTTTGGTTTGTGAAACTAACAATGTGCAAAGAGCTCTCTAAAGGATCTCTCTTAGGAACTCTGTACACCTTGTAGCCCCAGCATTGCATGAGAGATTCATTCTTTTTCCAATATTAAATCCTCCTGATAATATTGTTTGTCTGTCTACATCTGTCTATATCCTATACTCAATTAGCCTTAAGATCAAAGAAGTGCATTTGCTTTGTGTAAACTGGTGTAGCTGAATTATGAGTGTATACACTGGAAGTAGGTAGCTAATTCCAAAGCAAAGGTCTTTGGTTTAACAAGAGAGACTCAGAAACTGTCTGCATTACCTATTCTTCCTCAGAGAAAAACCCATACGGTGGCAATAACCTTCACCAAGCTACTTTCAACTACAAATGCTGAATGATGGGAACAATCCTGCTATTTGTGATTTATTTCTAGACTGCCTGAACTCTGGCTGGGGGAGTGCTAAGCATACGGAATTCATTTTTGTGAAGCTCTGTGGACTTATGTAAGGATTCTAACTCACTCTACATTTATACTTAAATCTTTTAATAACTCATTTCTTTTCTTAATTAATCTTTGGTTGATTTACTAAGAAGTGGATGACAGCAGTTTTTGGTGAAATGCTGAAGTATTCATTGACCTCGGGTATGTGGCTGTTCTTTTTGACTAAAGGAATCTACTGTGTGGTATTTTTTTTATTTAATAACCTTACATCATAGAGTACAATTGGTCTAGAAGAAGATAAGGGTTGAAATGCTAAAGAGGCATTTTGTTACTCCTTTGTAAAATTAATGTAGTGATCCAGAGGTACACTTTTGTTACTGTACTGGCTTGGTAAAATCTAATTGTAGAATATAACACTTTTGGGTATGTCTGCCATTTTCTTATAGGCTGTCCTGAGTTTGGCATTCTTAGCTGTGACCCAATCGGGGCACTACAACAATCTTTGTTCTTATTTTTCAAAAAGTTTTATTTCACTGGCTTTGTATTATAGTTTGAGAAGGTTTATTTAAAGTGTGCCAAGCAAATGAAGTGATATTCCCACAGATTGATCATGTAGGTCAAACAATTCTGGCTGTTCAGTAGAACCGTACGCAGATATAAAAATCTGTATTTACATCCACATCTACAAAAATGAACTGCAATATAAAGCAGAAATCAGCATATTTGCAGAGTTTTATGGTTTTCAAACACACATTTTAAGAAGATGGCCACAAACCTAGCATATGTAACTTTGAGAAAGCACAATTTTGCATTTTATCATTTTACACACAAATTCTGAATAAACCAGTTCTCTTTCATCCAGATATGACTTTACAAATGTAAAGGTCAGAGTAAAGCCTGCTGTGACATCTAGGCCTACAAATTTACCCTACTTATAAGCTCAACTGTAAAGAGTATACAGAAATTCATAATGTTACAATAATGCAACAACATATGTTAATAGAAAGAAATTCAAGAAGCTTTCCATGATTAATGTTGCAAGAGAACCAAACAGAAACACTAAATTCCTATAAACAAAAAAGGTCCCCAAATTTGGAATCACAAGCCTACCCTAGCGGCAAGGAGTCCTGTGGCACCTTATAGACTAACTGCAGTGTAGCCTACCCTGCACATCCATAAGGTATGTCAAGTTTCAAGGCAAGCCAAGTAACCATGCAAATTTTAGAGCACTTAAGACTCATCCTAAAAACAAAAAGAGCTTCTCAACCCTAGCTACAGGAAAGTTGGTGCTTCCCTATGATTTAATTTTTCTTTCTTTTCTTTGTAATGAGCAGAGTTCTGAGTAGGAATGCTATAAGTAATCACGTTAGGCTCAATTCTGTAACTCTCTGAAGAGTTCACTAAAGCCAATAATTCATGTGAAGTAGTGCTCAGAAAGAAAGAACTTGGTATTTGCCTTATATCAGTGGTTCTCAACCTTTTTTCATAGCGTGGACTGGCAAACTCACTCAAAAACTTTTGGCAGACTTGCACTTAAGCATTTGCATATTCATTATGGCAATTAATTTATTTGCATATTAATCAAAATGTTTAGTTATTACATGTTATTTTACATTGCTCCTGTATGCACACAACCAAAAATATGAACAGTGCTTTCCTGTCAAAAACATTAATGATGCACAGGAAGGGGCACTGGACTTTTAACCCTCATGTCAGCAGCATCCAGACAGTGGAAAAATTGAAACTGCAGCATGCATGCATGCATGAGTGACAGCTTTGTGGATTCCAGGCTGACAAGGTTGGGCTAGTCATGCAGATTTTATCTGAGAAATAAAGATGGTGAATTCTTGAATTGTAATGCAAATATAATAAGGAGTTCTTCAAATATACAAAATACAGATATTGGAATAATAAAAATAAATGTACAGTGCATGTCAAAATCAAGGAAGTGACTTGCTTTTTGGATTCCTTGAACCCTGATTTCCCTTGTTTCCTATGCATGAGAAGTCCCCAAGATAGAAAACATTTTCCTCAGAGAAAAATCATTTCTGAACAATGAAAACAGAAGAAATTCCAAGTGGTAGCACTAACAATACTATTAAAATGTGATTAAAGTCTCGCTGACTCCACTTCTAAAGTTTTTTTTTTTTAAATAATCATTTTCTTTAATACTTGTGTTTGGTTTCTGGCTTATCAGACTCCCATTTACTCATGCTGAAATGTGCATACCTGATCCTGAGCTAGTGGCTTGGTATTTCTACCCATAGCTTTTGGGGGCACTCAAAGTTTCTAGGTACTCAAGCCCCTGCCATAAACCACCCATCACACATATAAAGTTCAAATGTCTTGCCTCTACCCAGCTGTTCCTTGGGCTAGAGCAGTTGAAGGGATGCAGGACAATGGTTAATACAGCACTGACTGTAGCCAGTTATTTGTAAGGCAATGTATTAACTTTAAATAACAAATATTTCGTTCTACTTAGAAATGTATGGGAGGAGGAATTTAAGCCACCATTATGACTGATTTAGGGCTGCATCATGTAGCAAACCCCATGAAGTATAGCGCTTACAGTGATGACTCCCCATTGAAACCCAGCCCTGCTTACAGCTGGGAGTCTGTAGACCCACCTAGAACAATCCCTAGGGAAACAAGGTAACATACTGCCAATAGCAACTAGCCTTTGGCTCTTACTTTGTCTGAAGTCCCCATGCCAGAGCATGGAAGGCTGGATCGGCTGCTGACGCAGACGCCTCCCACAAGGCTCCGGTAACTTTTGCTAGAGGACAAGTAGTAAGTCACTAGTGGCTGGGCACAGCTGTGCAGTCAGACCAGGGGGAGGCAGAGATCTTTGCTGCTCCAGGCAGGGGAATGAGCCAACCTACCTCTTGAGCAGACAAATGCTACAACATTCCCAGCCAACCAGGGACACTTAGGGAAAATTAGATCACAGCCCGGACCAACCAGAGCCTGGTGGTGACCGTCTGGGGTGAGGAAAGAGAGTCAGAAGAGACTGTAGCAGCTGTCAGAGCTGGAACCGGGGCCCCTGTCCCAATAGGGACAGCCTCACTGCGTCCCCCGCTCCAGCTGCAGCACACCTGGCTACCTGCCGCGCCACTCACCCTGCTGCTGTGTGGGGAGCCCCAGTCGCCGGAATTCATTAGCATAGCCTGGCAGTTTGCCGCGGCCCACTGCTGCCTTATACAACGTATAAGAGAACTGCTGCCTTATACAACACGAAACAGTAATGACCAAGACAATTTGCTTTATTTAAAAACAAAAAACAGAAAAACAGGGACAAGCTGTGGAATATTAATTTTTGTTTGGAAGCATTTTGTTTTGTTAGAGATGTGAGAGGAAAAAGAGACATTTTATATATCTGCCTACTTTTGAGTCTCTCTAGAAAAGGCTCCTGCTATTGGTTTAAAAAAAACCATTTGAGTGGAAGAGGCACTATTTCTTTTGAACTTGATGTCACAGGGAGTTCTGTGTTAATGTGCATTAGGAGCTGCATTAACATTTCTGCTGAAGAGGGACCAACATACTGTCAAGCTTTAAAACACAAAGCAAACAGCTAACAGTGTAATTGCCAAACAAGTGTTAATAAAAGAGACCTTTCTGGGTGATATACAGAATTGTTTGTGAATCAAAAAGTACATAATGCACTTCTGGACTATTTAACAGCACTGCTGCTAATCCAAAGTAAGAGTAGCAAGATAGAACGCAGATAATTACTGATTCAATTTCATGGAAGAATGAATAATATTCTAAATTTTACTCAATGGTTATTTTAAGTAGTGCTCTATAGAATATCAGAGTCTAAATTTAACTGGAAAACTATCAAAGGTATGCCACCATCTTGCAACTGGAGCCACAAAGATGGACATTTATACTAGGGATGTAACAGTGTAGTTGATTAAACGATTAATCGATAAGCAAAAGCTTATAGGTTAATACTATAGACTACACACATTTCCCCCTGACCCGTTGCCAGTAAATTTTTCAGCAGGCTAGCCAGCAGCCCAGCTTAATCCTGACTTGCACTGGGTCCTGGACCTACCCATATCTGCATTTAAAGTGTATTAGGAGCCAGGCAGGCAGGCAGCCCGGCTCAATTCTGGCTCGTGCCATGTCTGGGAGCTCAGACCTCTCCCCCCCGGACAGGGGCTGCCCGGGGACTATAGACTAGTCGACTAACTGATAAGAATTCGACTATTCAATTAACGGATATTTAACATCCCTAATTTATACCCTTATGGCACTCTGCTGGCTTCAGCAGGGTTCTGCATGAGCTCAGATCTGTCCACAAGGGTTCACTGTCAAGATTGAGAGGGCTTTGATTCTGCATCCTTGCAGAGGAGTCCAATCTTGTATCTCACAGTGCATATACAATTTTCCATGCACAGACCTCTGTAATAAACTGTACTGTAGATGAAAATCAACGACATTGTTTCTATCCACTTTAATATAAAGTTGGCAAATGAAATATTTCAGTTACACTTTACGATAGCATCTTACCTCCTTCTTTAAGCACTTCCGCATCTCTCGGTCAAGATCATTGCAGTGGCCAAAAAATTTCAAAACGCTGTGCTAAGTAGTTATAGAAGAGAAAACACAATTTACCACATCATATAATGTAGAAGTTCTACTGGAAAAGCATTAGAGCTTTGTAGAAATTTATTTGCAATCTATAGTGCATTCTGTTCTTCCTTTCACGTCCTCTCTTGCTTTGGAATGGATTGTTTTATAAAGTGTGCTGAGTTTCAAGAGAATTGACTCTATGGCCCAAACTTTGAAGATGCTTACCCTTCTATTTGCTTTACTGGGAGTTCAACATGGGCCAAATGGCACTCAGATCACTGCAGGATAGAACTCTTAAATAAGATCTATAAATTGAAGTCCAATGCATGGGTTGTTGGCAATATATTTAAAGCATGTACTTATTAACCTGGAGGCCAATTCTGTAACCTTTACTCACCAAATAGTATCGCTAGCTTCAGTGGAACTGCTCGTGTGTATGAAAGTCTGTGGAACAGATTTTTCCAACTACAGAGGTTTACAAGCATTGTGGAGGGGATGTGCTCAATCCCCAGGATAAGGCACAGTGTGAATTGCTTCTTCTTCACAGCTTTAGGAGGGTGAAGTCCAGAACCAGAGATTCAGATCAAACTGCATGCCATGTTGGCTACCTACAGTCTGTTTATATCCAAAATATCTGCAGTTGCTATACAGAGACTGGTACTACAGAAGTGAACACAGACCCAAAGAGCAGAGAAGAGTCTCTCCAACCTACTGTTCAGATCAGCCTTAACACCAAACCCATGACTTGAGACTACATTCATTCTACTTAGAAGTCAAATCACTGTAATTTCTAAGGTCCAATATATATCTAAATCTTATCCCATTTCTAAGATACTGAAGTGAAAACTAATGGTCTTTGTTCTGATTGGCTGTTTATAGCTACCTCGCCAAGTCAGTCAAGTATCTACTATGAAAGGGTGGTGTTTAAAAGGCAATACTTTTTGAAACAATGTCACATCGGCCAAAGAATATTATACAAAAGTGTGCCTGCGCCTACTGAAAGTGCTATTATCACACAATGATCATCAAGATAACAGAACCAAGAAGTCTGGCAGTAAAATAGTACACAAGACACCCAAATTACTGAAAAACTGCAAAAAATACTTGCACCTACAGGTTGGACTGAGTCTGCTTGGTCCATCTTGTGTGGAACACACCAGTTGCAAAATAAATTGTAAAGCAGAAAACAGTACAAGGAGAGTTTGGTACACTGGGATGGTTCTAAAAAGACTGGTCTTCGCTGTAACTCCTTTTATGCCCCAACTTGCTTAGCCATGCTATGCAGTATGTAGATGCTATAAAGAGCACGGCATTTTAATAAAGAGTATATCTGCTAATGTTTGGCATACATACACTAGCCTGTATGTCTGTAGTATACAGAGATCATGTTGAATGTTTTCAATAAATCAGGTTAGCAATTAGTAGCTGATTTTTGTAAAACTATGTAGAAAAGGTTCTGACTCAACTGTATTCAAAATAGAAACCAGACACTTGCTTCTCATTTAAATTGTAGCAGATTCTTTTATTTGCATTCCGGTAACTTATAAGGAAACAATGATTTTATACATATGTAGGGTGGGATACCATTAATGCATATGTGAAATGTCAGCCAGAGTTACACATTTCTGAGTGAAAAACTCTGAAAAATAGGAAGGGGTTAATGAAGGTGCTGACAGACACTTCTCTGTAACAGTGCTATAATTAGTTAGTTTATACCTCTCTCCATAGTTGATAGAAGACATCAGATGACACCACATACACAGCAATTGCAAGTGACAAGCCCTCACTTCCCTGTTTGTACTCTACTACAAACAAACCTTGTTTAAAGAGAACATTTTCATTGGTACAGATTTTATTTAACTCATAACTGTATATAACTCTATATTTGCACTTGGATTTTTGTGTGCACTCTCACAGCAGGACTACTCCATTCTTCTCAAAGTGCACTGAAAGATGAACTGCTGCCAGTTATCTACTCAACATGAATATTCTGCAATGCATTTAAGATTTTGTAGTTCACTCACACACACTGTCACTTAACATCTCTTTCTTTCATATAAATATTTGGTTCATAGGGTGTCTAAGAAATTTAGCTGACAGAATTAATTCAATAAGTTTGGAATAATATTTCCACAGAGCCATATTTAGTGGCAGGGAAGGAATCTGAAAATATTTCAGATAAGTGTGTTATGTTACAACGCCTCCCCCCGTATCCATAACTTATTTTGCTAAAGAAATTATGTTATCCTCATTGTGAATCACACCCCAATATCCAACCCTCGCTGATTGCCCCCCACCCTGCAATTTTTTTAAGTATAATATGCTTGGTAGGAAATTATACCATTTGTGCCTGAACACCTTCATACACACCGGTAATAAAACTCACAGGTCATGACATGACTGCTATTGTTATCTTTAACTCAGCCTCTTTATGTTTTGAACTGGACATTACAAGTTACCTCATCATTATAAAAGAGCTAATATTTAGCACATAAATTAAGCCTGTACAGGGATATAAACTAGCTTTAGCATGGTAGTGCAGTGTAACAGTATTAGACAGTTTGCAATATGTCAAGCTACACAATATTTTACAAGTACAGAAATACAGTGCAAAGTGCAAACATGTATGTGCATATATAAAGTAAGCACAAGGACACTGATTATCTTCCAGAGGCTTTAGCCTTCCTGAATCAGAAGAATTAAAAACATATATTACACTTCTCTGGCTAAAATCTTTTCATGTTAGCTGCCATTTTTCCCAGTCTGAGAAAGAGTTAAACTGTTTCTTATGAAGTAGCACAGAAATATTACCGTGCAGAAGCTCTTGTCTCAGACCAAATATTTCAGAGCTTCTGTACCACTATACCTGCCCATTTAGAAATCCAATCATTATTTTGCAATTATTACATTTTAAGTATAAAACATAAGGCTTTGGAAAAAAATGTTCAGCTATTAGCCACTGTAGATTTTTTTTTTAATATGGTACAAAATACATTACCAAACTTCATCAAGGATTCTTATTTTTATATGTCTGTATATATTTTTGAGTGAAACATTAATATTAAAGGTAATCTCAGGCATAGAGCAATAACTTCCAATAAGGATAATTAAAAAGCAGACAGAGAAGAATGGGGAAACATCAATAAGATTACATGCTTATTTGGTGAAGGCTAGTGTACAGCATGAAGGACTAACAAAGAGATTTTTAGAGATGTAAATAAAATACGGGATTTTTTTTTCTTTTAGATACCATGCAAGGATTGAGTCTTCAGGAGAGGTTTTGAGGAAAGAATGGCAGTGGCCTTATGGACCAGCTTGGAAAGGTCATTCTATTTGTAACTCACGGGAGAATTCTGCACCAAAAAATTAAAAATTCTGAAAAATTCTGCATATTTTGTCAAAGATATCATAATATAATCACTCCAGTTTCAATTATTTTTGTAATTGATTTCAAAATATTTGTTTACGAGTATGTCAAACCAGAAAACAGCAAAACAAAACAAAAATCCCCCAGGGATAGAGTTAAAGAAACAACTCAGTGCCAGTTTTGGGGTCGTAGAGGGGCGGTGTGAGGACCCCAGACCCCAGCAACAAGGCATCCCCAGTTCAGACTCCAGCACTCCTAAAGCCTTTTCTCCTCTCCAGCTATCTTCCCAGGGGACATGGCATGGTGCAGCTCCTGCCTTTCCTCACCCTTTGCCAGAGCTGAGTGGATCTCTCAGTCCTCTTGCCTCCTAGGAGAATGAAGACCAAAGAGCACACAGCCTTCAGCCTTGCTAGACTGGGCACTCACAGAAAGCTGGGCTCTGCAGAGTCTAAAGGCCTCTAATGGCAACCAGAATTTCTGTGGGGCAAACAAGAAATTCTGCATCCTACAGCGGTGCAGAATTTCTCCAGGAGAAATTGTGTAGAAGAGCTGCAAGAAAGTATAGACACACCGACAGTATTATTTTATTTTATAATACGCCACATGCTCTGGAAACTTAGGAGTGAAAGCAAGATAAAAAACAGGATTATTTTCCCCCTCTCTTCCACTAGCAATTAGATTTACTTGTCAAATAAGACCAATCATACAAAATATCTTGTTAACTTCTAAATACGTAATGTTTCAGCTTCACTATAATATGAAAAGGCTGTAGTCATAAATGAATGTTAATTCAAAGAAAAGGAAGGGTTCCATTACAGCTGCAAGAAAGACCTGGATGTATCTATGTATGTATCCTACCAAATTAGTGCCAGGTTTTTTATCCATCTGCAGGATAATCAAAAGGAAGGGTCATGCTTCTTGCTGTAAAGGCAAAAAGGGATTGAACACGGGGGGGATTGACAAGCTGAGTCGCTTACATCCCTAAGAATGTTATTTCACATGGAACAAACATTTGTGGGAAGTTAGAAGTATTTAAAATGTCTCAGACTGGACATGAAATTGATGAGAACAGATAAGGTAACTGGAAAGACATCAGATTTAGTCAGCAAATCTACAGTAGATTATGAAGTCAACTTATTTTTACAGATTCAGAGAATGAGCTAAATCTGGAATCATGACTTCATATTATAGACAGAAATGGCTTATCCAATTAAATGGATACTGCTGAGGAATAAAAAATAAGGTATATTCTTTAGTCACAGCTTGGCTCAGTCCTGTCTTGCGATGTGTCCGGGATCTACCCCTGCTGCAGCTCTGCATTTAAATTGTATTAGGAGCTGGGCGGGCAGGCAGCCTGGCTCAGTTCTGGCTCACGCTGGGTCCTGGAGCTCAGACCTTCCCTCCCCTTCCTGCCTCTGTATCAGAGGCAGCAGCACAGGGTGACAGACAGTGAGTCTCTGAGGGGAGCTGGTTTTTAAATGGGCTCTCTTCACAGACCAGCTCCTGCCTGGCACCGCGAGGTAGAGGCAGCAGCTCAGCGTGAGGCCACAGCACACTGGCTGCCAACTCCGGCCCCAGGGACTATAGAATAGTCAACTGACCAGTAAGAATTAATGAGGTTACTAGACTATTCAATTAACCA